GTTTATTCGATTCGACCCTGGGCAACCTTGTTTTGCCTCTTTGTCGTGGTTTGGAACTGTGACCAATGAGGCAACCAGTCTCGCTCACTTTGTTTACTGTGATGTTCCCTTGCGAAGGATTTTATGGGGATGACTGATTGAAATCGTTACTATCTTATGGATCTCATGGAATCTTCCACAACTCGTCTCATGGAATCTTCCACAACTCGCTTCAGGTCGTTGCAACTATAAAAGTGCCCTTCTCCTACTTGCAACTCCCCCTAAGGAAAGGATAACTAAGGCGCGGGCTTGAGAAGCCACTCAGAGTGGTTTTATTCAACGATGCCTCAGTGATGGTTGCAAAACCACAAGGCCATTTATGTCGTCAACAATGGCTTAAGAAGCGGTTTATCGAGATGACGATGACCAGCGAAGTGGTTCTAGGGCTCGCTATAGCCCATTCAGCGTTAATCCCACAATGATCAAGCTAACAGCACCGGCAGTCATTTCATGGACTTAACCATAGTGTGCATTCGTAACACTCAATGTCCTTTTCGCCATTCTAGAGTACTTTAAGTACAAACTTCACAGTGCACATCTGAAAACAGTATGCAAGCTGAAGAGGTGTATTTGCTCAAAATTACAAGTAATATTCCCCATGGTAAGATTCATAACAGAATCTATCCAAAAAAGGATGAGGATCCCCGTTGATCAATCCCGTTTTTGAGATACGGCACGCATTCTACTTCCATTCAGAATCGTAGTGGCTTATTGAATGCGATGTGGCCTACAATGACTTGCGGTGGCCAGCCGATGTACAAGTCAGTGTTTTATCCTCCCAGACGAATCTGGTACCAATTTACCGTCCCCGGAGGGTAGAAGGCTTGGTTGGCCTGGGCGGGAGTCGACCCGGGATTTAATCCGGGATTTAACCCTCGGACCGCGCGCGTGGCGAAGCATATTCATGATAGAATATGACAAGTAACCACTCTATTCTATTCTATACTCACTCTCTCTATTCTATAAAGCACTAACTTTGTGTGTCGGTTTGTCGGTCTGTATGTATGTATGTAAGTATGTATGTGTGTTTGTCCGTCCGCAAAATGCTTCAGTGACATTAGATCACCAAATTCGTATCGGGTCGCAGCAACTGTAGGAAGTCAATTTCAAAAGATGATATAGGGAGTGGGAAGGGAACACTATCGGTGTGTGACAGAACGTTATCACAGCTGATGAAGATCCGATAAGAGGCTATAGAAGGGAAAAATCGGGAAATGTATGACGCGGGTCGTAGCAAGTCACTTCTGCGCGCAGAACTTTAGAAGCCGCCATGTCCGGCTCTCGATGAACCTCGGCATAATCGTTGAATATTTATTTGCTTCAAACTTCACACGAGGTTGGTATACACAGTGAACGGCTAACGTTTCGGCACGATTGCCTTCTTCGGAGCCTTTGAGATCACGAGATCAGCCCGTGTTCGACGATATGGTGGTTTGTCGACCGTGATCGGGGTACGATCTCGTGATCTCAAAGGCTCCGAAGAAGGCAATCGTGCCGAAACGTTAGCCTACTACTGTGCTTAACAACCTCGTGTGAAGTTTGAAGACAAATAAATATTCAACTCAGAAGCGTTTTGGATATGCGCTGGAACTCCCAAAATGGAACAGGAAGGACG